ATTGGCAAGAATCGTAATAATTGTATTTTTCAGAATTCTTAACGTTACAAATTTAAATAAGCCTCGACTAACTTGATCCTGACTGATGAGTACACAATTGCCATAACTTTGTTATATAGGAGTTTCTGTTAATATTTCTAATAATATTCCATTTTCAATAATTCTGTACACTGTCCTCGCCTGATCAAGTCTTATTTCTGTACGATTTGTCTAGATTATAAAGAATTTTCGAAGAGGAGCTTTATGATCTTATTTCTTCATTGTATTTAATATACTTAATTTAAAATAAAAAAAGTCATCCTAATTCCCTTTTAAAAAACCTTTTATTTTATTATATCGAAGAAGACCTGAACCATAGATCTAAACATGTATTCACCCGAATAATAATGTTTTTACCGACTGTCTGCATATTTAATTTGTTTTCCCAAATCGCAAGCATCCAATCGTTATGTTCTTTTGAAAAGTCGTTTCGCTGCCACGCGACGACGTATCCTTTCCCCCTCCCCGAGTTTTTGTTTCCGTGATATCCCCGTTAATGGCCCCTGAAAATTGATCAGGCTCATTATTCACGCTCGTGGATCTCCCGCGAGTTCCGATATCTGGATAAAGCAGCGCGTATTTGTATGCAACACGATTCGTTAACGCTGTTCCTGCGATAACGAAGAACATGATTAAGGAGCAGGTCATTAATTTTTCTTTCATTAGATCGTGTTGCGCAAGCGAAATTCATGAACCGTCGACCATGGCGCGCTGTTCAGAGAGAAAAAATTTCATTAAATCGCATTACTCTTCGTTTCGCATCTACTTCACTAATGAATTAGGGGAAAATTGTAATTACAGTCACCGTGAATAATTAATCTCCCGTTGTAAAGAAAAGAACTAAATTGAATTATTGATCAACGCACAATGTGCAATCGTACGGAAGCACTATTTCTAGAGGGAAGGTAGAGCAAATTGAGAAAATTCCTGTGTTGATAGACTGCTGTTGTTGATTAGATTGCGAACAAATACGATCCTACGAATGGCGAGTATATATTTATTGTGTGGTGTGCTATGAGTTTTAATTTCTTCCTAGTGGAATATATACAGACGATGAAATAATTATTTTGTTTGTACTGAAACCTCTAATATTGATATAAAGTGTTTGGGAACTCTTCTCAATAATTCAATTATCTAAGTATTAAATTTCTTAGAATATTTTTACATCTTTCTGTTTAGTTGATGTTAGGGATTATGAATTCTGTTGAATACCACCCTAGGTTAACTAATACCTTTTAGAATTAAAAATCTACGTATGTAATTTATACAAATTATTGTCGGTTACCCTTCAATCTTAAGGAAGGAGGTGTTGGATATCGTTTAGGTTAATCTGTATCTCCTGTACTGTACCATCTAATCGTCACTACTTTAGGTTAGTCGGTAGTTTTATCTTCATGGGATAAGTAAATATTTTTAAGTTTCAAACTTAGTCATCCGTCCATACACCAACTAAGCATCCGACCCTTGTACCCTTACTCACTAACTCCGAATAACATGTCCGACTCCTTAACATCCTACGATTCTCATTGGTCCTTCCCCTTATTTCCACCACTTTCTGAATCCTTAAACACAAACCTTTATAAGGCACACCAAAATTCGTCTCTCGAGCTTTTTCGTAACATAATACAACAGAAGTAGGAACGTAGCGGTAATCTAGTTTCTAAGTACCGAATTGTATTAGAAACCGAACTTGAAATAAATCGGAATCTAACAATTCATAATTGAGGAGTGTGCATCAATAAGGAGACAGTTCCACATTTTCAAATTTTTGGGAAATCAAAGAAAAACGTTCTAAAATGCTGGTTGGTTACTTTTGCATTCACAGTATCTGAGATGTTCCGTGTCATTTCACAACACCTACCAATTATCTATATCGTGCCTCTTGAGTACCTGGGTCGTCGACGCTAGTTCCGCGACGTCTTATGAGTCCTATGATTTGTGCAGGTATCTGAACATTCTTTCGAAGTCGTTAGTTCTGCATTCAATGTCTTTGCATCGATTCACACTATCTAGAGTTATCTATGTCACGCCTAATGAATACTTGGGTCATCGATTGGGTTTCACGTCTCTCGGCTCCTACGAATTGTGTATACCTGTTTCTGGAATATTCTGCATTAATTCATAGTGTTCAGAGTCATCTGTAACGATTCACTGGGTCTAGAATTATCGACGTCCTCTCCCATAAATTCCTGGATTGTCGATGCGCGATATACGACGTCTTATGCGCTTTGTGATTTGTGTAGGCATATGAATGCAAATTCTTCCAGAACTTTTACTTCTTAGAGTAAATAATCTATACCCTATGATTCTTAAGATCCATAAAATCCTAAGATTTATCTAAAAATTCTTCCACTGTCTTTAATATCCCGTTTGTCGACTCTGAATATTCCGCATCGATTTGCGATATCCGCGGTAATCTCTGCCGATTCGCGTTTCCAAAGTTATCCGCGCATCCCATAGCTACCTCAATTCTTGATGTAAATTCAAGTACAACGTCGTACGATTCACGGCTGACATGCCGTTTGAAATTGACGGAGAGACGTTCTCGAATCTCGCAACGAGATTAATGGAAATAATGTTGAGCTGCACGACAGCGACTACGGAGGAATACCCGATACGTGTAAGTAATACACCCTGTCAAGTGGATTACCAAGACAGAGAGAAAACGATGGGACACGTCAGTGTAGTGAGTCATTCGCGTCGTTGGCTCATGATTAATACCGTCGGCTGCCTTTGCGAGATACATTCTAACGCCCGAGGTACTTTAGGTTCCACATTTATACGAGACTGGTACAGGTGTACCTACAATTATTTTCATGTTCTCAACGCAAGAACTGAGGCAGGTTTGGCGCTTACATATCGACGATGTTATTCATATTGTATGTGGGGTTTCAATTGGTCTTTTCTTAGTTCTGACTTAAAGCCGACGTGGACATTTTTAATACATATTGGTTATTGTTAGAGGAGTTGTTGTCTTCAGATATTTTCTAGATGTATGAGTAAGAGTTTGGATACATAGAAGTCTATATTGATGAAGTCTAAGTATATAGATTATACAGGATATTCTACTATATAGTAGAACTCTGAGTCAACAGTGACTTGGTATTGTAAGTTAAATGGTTGCCTTTAGATATTTATTATAACATCTTTCTCAGTGCCAGAATTGAGATAGGTTTGGCACTTGCATATCGACGATGTTATTCATATTTTTAATGGGGTTTTAATTGTTTTTCTCTCAGTTCTAATTTAAAATCGCCATGAACACTCTGAGTCACCAGTGATTAGTTACTGGCGCAGGAAGCAGTTGGTTGGTAACTATACAGAAGAATATCTCTGATGTTTGGCACCAGTCTTCTACGAATTTAACCATGGCATAACATCAGCACCGTTCCGGGTACTAAAGTTTTGATTTCATTCAAAGCTTCGCAAGATGTCATTTGTTGCAACAGGTCGTGAGACAAATTCAACAGTAAGTTCTGCTTCTATCAGTAATTAGTTACTGTTAGTCGAATGTTTACTTTGAAATATTTTTCCAGATATATATGGATAAGAATTTAGATACATAAGAGCCTATTAAGCGCGTGAACTATGACACATACTCACATCTAGTATAATGATCTAGATCAACAGGACTCGTCATAGGTGACTATTGACTTGTGACATTAGATACCGATTACTACCAACTCGTGCAAGGCGACAAAAATAAAATGGGTCATCGTTGCAGTAGGTGAGGCAAAACAAAACATAATCGAGTTTTTAATTGACCCCGGGTATTTTAAATTTAATCAGAAAGTCCCCGATTAGATTTTTCATAGCCCGGGTGTCCCCGGTGCCTCTTGCATTCCCACCAGAAGGATAATCCACTTTTATTTTTGTTTACTCAACCCCAGTTATTTACAGACCGTCCGTGTACAGTTGTACACACTACCGAATTAACCCCAGTCGCTATCTACACGAAATTCGTTGTGTCTTCTAACAAACCTACACACTCTGTCCTATGTGTGTTTTTAATAACACCGATGCTACGCGTCGCCGGCTAGACCAGCTAGCATCCTGTCATGCTTAATCAAAGTATGACGCGAAAAATTGCTGTCGCTCGTTCCCCGTCCGTCTTTGTTTCCTTCGTGTCACGAGGGAATGAAAAATTGCGATTTCGCGTCAATCGACGACGAGGACGTCAACGCGGAGGAGCGGCCCCGAGGGCGAACGAATGAATTTTCATCGCCGCACATTCGACCTGTATCTGTATCCAATATTCGCATGATGGCCGACCGTACACAGGAGACCTCTCTATCCCCCCGTCCTATTACATATTCGAAACGACGATGAAGTTGTAGCCGCTCGCCTCTCTCGCCAGGATCGTTCCCAATTTTCTCTACTTTCTCCGCGAGGCGAGAAAATTCGTTTCGAAAATAGTCGACCGCATCCCTCAGTAGTCATCTTTTTTTTTTTCGTGGGGAAACCGCTCTGGCCTTTTTGAGGTAAGAGAAGTGGGGGATGCCCTGCATCGTTTGCACAGGGCGCAGGACCTATGTACCGTGGCGGTTTGAAAGGGTGAATAGTAGAGAAGAGGAAACGAGGGAAAATGGAAGAGAGGGTGTTTCATTCTGGACTAACCTAGAGAACGAATTGGTACGGATATCTAGTTTTTCTAAACACAACTCTTCGATTCCTTCTTAACACGTTGGTCGACACGTCACCCAGAAATGGGTGACAGAACTTTTCGTTATTTATTGCTCTACAATATAATCAGTAACAAATATAAATCCTTCGTTAATCTGTGTCTTTAATTAAATCCCCAACCGAGCATCTCACGCAAAGTAAAGTCGAAAGACTCGTCAAAGATAACCAGCGTAAATGTAACTTCACGAGAAGTTGTAGATTACAAGTCACTCGCCGTTTGAAATTAATTACGTTCCTAGACAAACTCATCGATCTTTCTCTTCCATTTGTGTTAACAGATCGGCGTCTGGAAGTCCTGGGAGAAGGAGGGTCTGGACATCAAGGACATTGTCTGGCCAGGAAACAGCCATACGCCCCCTCAAGGAGTGCCGGAGAAGTTTTATTTGAAAATAACCTTCTTGGAAGAGCCGCCCTACATCAATCTCGCGCCACCGGACCCTGTGAGCGGAAAATGTCTGGTGGATCGTGGCGTTCACTGCCGAGTGGCCAAGGAGTCCGACATGGTCGAGTAAGTCGAAAGAATTGCTTACCCTCTCGTCGATCGAATCTCTATTGCTCGATGGAGCCCAAGGGCTTATCGTCTTTCCTTGACAGGGATGTTTTAAGGTAACTGGATACTTTACAGTACCGCTGTACACGGTTTTCTCGCTTGTACGATAAGTAAATTAAAGTAACATTTACTGAGATCGTCGAGTTTTGTATAGAGATGGGGATAAAATGGTAGTGGTCATTGAAATTGCACTCCTAAATGGTACCAAGGGTGATTGATTTGATAGCTAACTTTATTGTATTTACATTTACAATCCATCTCTCAGTTTTTTGATATTATAGAGGTCTATTGAGAAGACTCTTCTCTTCACAATTAATAATAAAAGACTAAAATTTATTTCTGAATCACTATGATTTCTCAAACTAATTCAAAGGCTGAAATTATTTATTCGTTTACAAACCTCTTTATTGAATTTAATCCTACCCACTAAAATTATCAAGCAGAACATTTTTCAAACTAACACAAAAACCAACTTATTTATCCATCTCCAAAGCACTTTCTTGAATTAAATTCTACTCACTAAAATAATCAAACAGAACATTTATCAAATGCGTAAAGAGTGTGTATATTTAAAAATACTAAACCAAGTATCACGTCATTTTTACAAAATTAACGCTAAAGTAAGTTTGATTACAACGTCAGTTCTTACCGATTACAATCCATTTGAATAATGCTTGTACCTATTATCTTTCTCCTATTGATTCTCGATATGATAAGCAGCTTTTGCACGAATAATTATGCACAGCAATCGCTGTACAGGCGTCCGTGGCACATTGTTCTCCAAGGAGTTCGCGCTCACAGGAGTAACCCTAAGATGTCGGGGCTTGATGCAAAATTAAGGTGCGAGTTTGCTAAAGCAGCCCCCTGCGCGCGCAACCCGAAAAGGCTGGAGTTCTCGTGTAACGAGCTAACAGTGTTAAACACGTCGGAAACGAGCCCATCGGGAAGCATTTTCCGAACTAAGGGTTGCCCTTAGGGAAAACAATTTTCGCCTCGCTATAAATTGACCTTTATTCCCACGTAATGGGCCTTGCATTACGATTTTACTAATTTTTCCGCTGCACGGATCACGCAACGCGAGTTCCCAACGTGTACCAGTACTGAGATCTTTTATAACATTGTTTGAAGTAATGGATGCTTGCCTATGAATGGAGTGACGGCTGCGAACGTGTCTTTGCAGATGTGTGTTGGTAAAAGAACTTCAGAGCGACGAGGACGAGGAGGGTGCAATCTACTGCAGTGCTCTTTGAAAGAAAGTCATTCTATTTGAGATAGTAGAGAGAATAGCAAATTAGGCAAGTACATAAAGTGATTAATCTTTTCGCTGGCACACGCAGAGCTTATGCTCTGCGACTGAAAATTGTTTCTGGGAATTATTGTACATCAAAAATTCACTCGACTTTCGACGAAAGCATCTTATGAATCAAAGTGATCACTTACTAACGACTCTTCGCTTTGGTGAAGTTTTGCTTATAAGTGTGGCAATAAAAAATAATATACAACTACTGCTTCTTCGGAGGAATAGTAGGCTGCAGAATTTATAAATTTAGAGTTAGCTTTAGTTGTTTTTGTTTCAGAGGTATGTAATATAGGTTAGATGTTTCTTTTTCTTTTTCTTTTTATGATTTGTAAATGATGTGATGTAAGCAAAAGTTTTTCCTTATGTAAAAATTAAAGGAATAAATCATCTATCTATCTATTCACTGCTTCTTCGATAAAGATAAAGATAAAATAGCAAACGTTTTCATGTTTGTTATTCAAGCTGAAGGAGAAATTAAGGTATTGACATTTTTATTAGATGACAGAACTGGCCTGCCTATGTTAAATAATAATTCACTTGTAAGCGAAAGAGAGACTTTCCAAAAGTATAACACCCTCCTTGCATCGTTAACAACAGTGGAATTATTATTTTCTTTTACGACATTATTATGTGAACCTAAGCAAAAGCTTTTTACAGATGAAGTTTTTGAAGAAAAAGATTTCGAAGTAAAGTGTATTAGAAATAAATTACTGTAAAGATTTCTTGAAATACATAGATTGCTTTAATTATATATTATTTTGAGGATTATTTTCTTCGTGAAACTTGAAATAAAAAAAAATAACGAAATAATATGAAGTAGGTAGCCATCATTTTAAATGAATTATTTTTATTTTCAAATAAATAATTTCAGGTAGTCATTTCTAAACTGCGGTTGTTTATGCATTTACTGCAAGTGAAAATGTAGAAAATTGTACGATGATGCCTGTATTTTTGTGTGAAAGCAAAAATATACAAAATGTCAACAATAAAATACACGTTAAGAAGATAAAACCTGCTTTCATTTAAATCTCAATTCTTTATCTCGATCAGCAAAAATATGAATTTGCATAACCATCCCCAGTGTAGGAGTATTCCTCATTTTCATTTCAATGAAAGGTCGCTCGAGTATGGTATCAACCGACCTCGATAATGTCTCAATGCAGTACAATTTTTGTCATTCTTCTCTTCACATTTACCAAGATTGAAATTCTAAAAATCAGTCAACTTTGTGGTAATTTTTATGCAAGGATAGCCTTAACGGATGAAACGTCCTTTCAACGAGTTCGCGTGTCGCTCGGTGGACGTGAATGCGATTAGCCACGGTGTCGTTACTACTAATCAGAGTTTTCCGGGTTCGCAGCCCGTGACGATGAAACCGAAGCACGTAAATGGAAGCACGAAACAGGGGACAGTCACCCCGCGCCGCCCCTAGAAACATAATTTCCAAGGAGCAGCTTCATAGTTTCCGTCGCGAAATTCCACGAGGAAAATTCAATTTCGGGCTGCAGCCGTGCGAGCACCCGCTATTATCCATTATTCTTTCCCGCTCCGTCGAGGCGACCTCTCGTCGCTGCCAACTGTTCCCAGTGCCGTTGTTTCTTCGCTTTGACGACATTACGAGCACGTCCCCGAGAGTGCCATCCCTTCGGTGAAACGTTCTCGATCGCAACTTCCCGTGGAATTTGCAATTCCCCCGTTTCTGACCAAGTTTTTTTAACCCTTTGCACTTGGATGCTTCTTCCGAGTGGACATCGTCAGTTCAGGCAAACTTTATTAGTGATTACACAGGATAAACTTATGGGAGCGTAAAATTTGTAAAAGTGTATGATTCCTTGAAGGTTTCTATTCCAATATCACGAAAAATCAAATAAAAATATGATACATGTATTAAGATGTGTATAACAAATATAAGATTGTGTTACATGGAAAACGAATGTGTAAATAGTCCACATCTTAAAAAAGCGACAATCAGCATTTGTATAAGAATGTAAGATGTGCAATTTGTGGAGGTAAACAAGAAAGCCTAAGATTGCAGCTTAAAATATGGAAACTATCAATGCATATCTATTACTTTTTCAGTGATTTATTCAGTGATTTTTTACATAAATATGTTCTTCAATGTCTAAAGATTCATGTAAGCTCGAGTATCATTACAGTAAGGTACATGTTTTATGAATTACATTATGTAATACGACGTGATTCCTGCTTGCACATTCTGTACAGAAATGGTTCCGAGTGCAAAGGGTTAAACATTTCGGGAGGTAATGCAGGCAGGATAAAGGAAAAACTGCCGTCTTCCTTGACACGGGAACTCTGGATGTCTGGATCTGTATACTGGAAATAGGGTAAAATATGGAAAACTTGAGGAGAGGTTTGCAAGGAAGCTTGTCGAAACGGGAAATTTGAAAAATGAGAAGAAAGTATCTTGAGGGTTTGGATCACAATAAATGAGATTCCAAAAGTGATTTTTTAAAATAAATATGAAAGTCTCAGAACATTTACAAACAATTTAATAGGAAACAGTATTAGCCATAAATTAACAACTTGTTAAAACCGTATTCCGATACATTTACTCAATGAAATATAAAATGAATAATAAATACATCTTGTTAAGGTTTTTCAATTCTTAAAAGGAATAACACATAATAAATAGTTACGACATTTTATTAAAATCTCATAGTCCTTACAAGGAATTGTATAAAATGAATAATAAATATATTTTGCTAAGATTTCGTAATTCTTCACCTCTGAATTGTCGCCCTAAATTGGGTTGAAAACACGCTCGCTGAGAAATGGACAAATTGCGACATACGGAACAGCTATATCTCCTTCTCTCCTAGGAGAAAATCGATTTCATTGTCGACGTGTATAACGAATCGACTTTGGGGAACGTTCTGAGTAAAGGAATAAGAAGATCGAAGTACCGTGAACTCTGGACGAACTCCCTAACGACAGCAGTGTCTTCGGGAATTGAAATTCCTCCGAAAACAAATGTGATTCGCGTGCGTGAAACCGAAACGAAATTCATGGCGGAGATTAAGCGCGAATCAATTTTCCGCTCGAGTGGTTCGACGATAATGCGAGGAACGAGGCTGGCATGTATTTTACGAGTAAAGACACTTTTCAACGAGGATTACCTCGGGGATAAAAAAAATATACATGTCGAATTGAGTAACCTCCTCCTTTTCGAATTCGGTTAGCAAAATCGTTTTAGTTTGTTTAAGGGTATATTAATTTACAACGGAATGGATAGAGGGGATTTACTGAATATAAACTGATACAAAAATTGTTATTGTATTATATACATACATATTGCATTTTCTTTAATATAAATGAAATTTAAGACTGCTTACTTTTTGAAGGTTTTTTTTATGCTTGGCATAGAGGAAATACTATTAAATAATGGCTTCACTTCAAATTCTCATACGACAATAAACACAATGTAGATATATCCTTAGAGAATTTTCATTACATTCTAATTTGGGATGCTAAAAATTACGAAATTCTCAAAAATTCATCTAAAGAAAATGAATGATTATGTAAATCTAAAATTTTACATACGATTTAAGTAGCAATTTAGAAATATAATAACTTATAAATAGTTATAGAAGATGCTACAGGGAATCCGATCTTGAATTAAATGATTAAATAATAGGAA